GGGTCGAGTCTCTATCAGAGGAGTTGACTCTTATTAAAGGAATTGACTCCGTGTCAAGGACTGAGTACAGGGACTGAGTATATGTCAGAGGGTCGAGTCTCTATCAGAGGAGTTGACTCTTATTAAAGGAATTGACTCCTTGTCAAGGACTGAGTCTATGTCAGAGAGTTGAGTCTCTGTCATAGGATCCGGAGTTGACTCTTACTCAAGGAATTGACTCCGTGTCAGGGCTGGCTCGTTGTCACACGGTTGAGTCGCTGTCAGAGGGGTTGAATCTTTGTCAGGAGGACGACTGTTTGTCAGGAGGCGACCTTTTGTCAGAGGCTTAATATAATTATTGCTTAATACATTCTTTCAGACAATCAGTATATTGTATTTTAGGTAGTTTATTCATGGTCGTTTAACTATGAAGTCCAGTGCCAGCAAGCCCAATACTATGACATACACGATATCATCGAATATCTTATCGTCTTAGCGAATAGTGTTGATTGTTGTTGCTACGGTGACTCCAGAAGGTCTCATAGAAACAGCAGTTCTATAAACCAGACAATAGATAATTGCAGGATATCGTTGTGTTGCGTGTTTGCAAATAGGATACCATTCAATGAAATTATTTTTTATAACAGGTTTTGATTATGTTGGATGGGGAGAGGGGGTTTTAGAACAACGCAATTTTGTCTTATTTGTTAATTAGTATTATACATCTTAAAACAAACTCACCCGCAAAAAAACCGGAAATGGTTCCATTTAAGGCTGGTGTGTCAGTTTGGCTTTTCCTTTTCTTTTCCTGAAGATCTGTTTGTGTTCATACTTCGTTTTACTTTTAAATACGTGCGATGATACTGCTCAGCCTCTGCAGTCGTATTGAGAGCTACCATTTTATCACTTAAAATCATGGTGATCTTAAGAGAAATGTAATTGTTTTTCAGTATAATAATAGGTTATTAGTTATTACCTATAAAGGAATCAATACTGCAAAGTTTTAACATTGAATGAATGATGGCATGCCAGTGTATACAGTAAGTAGATTTTTACCATTTTATATGCAAATTGGTATATTTATGTTGTCGATGGAACACTTGTAAATACCCATAATGCATTTGTATGATTTTAGCGTATGAAAACAACTTCTTATTTTAGGAACAAGGATAAATACCTCATTAAAAGAACATAGGGTAGATCTTATCGTAATAGAAAACACTTCATCATGAATCGCGCTAAACAGCACTAGAACACTGTCTGTGTATTTAACTGATTTAGGTAAAATAACAGGTCATTTCATCAGGATTTATCCTACAAGGTCCTTATGTACGATTTTTGTGACTTAGTAATAGTGTAGGACTTTTTATTACGAGATACGTGTCAAACGTGTCGACCTAAATGAAAAAAGTCCCGTTGGTTAGTAGATTATCGCTGTCAGCATTTGGTGGTGAGTAGATTATCGCTGTCAGCATTTGTTGGATGCAATTTTCACACATGTATTTGATCTTCACGACTAAAGCACATTACATTTCAAATCTTTGCTTGTTGTTTGTCATTTTTGTATCACATTTCAAAAGTTGTACAATGACACGACTGTACAGTCGTGAGACTGTAGTCATATAAGAATAGTTATTGTTCAGATCTTGGATACAAAGGAATTGGGCAACAGGCAAAGCCTATGAGCGCCCTCTCCTTACAGTAATCACACATCATACTGTAGTAATGGTAAAATATATGTATATATTATGTCATTATTATTAGTTTGAAAATTGTTGATATAGAAACTAGATTATACAAACATCAGCCAAATGTTGCTGGTTGACAGCACTTACTCTTCTGAGCTAAAGTTGCATTGTTACGAACACGACTCTAAATAAAAAATCTTGTATCTTGTATACTAAATGTACAACTGTGCTGGTATCATTCCACACAGCAAAGTCATATGACAGTAGATATACACACTTCAATGTATTCCTCAACCATCTCCAGAATACTTGTATCCACATTGATATCGAGTCTTTGACATCCATAAAGAAAGGTGTGAATATTGAATGGAATAGTTTCATTAAGAGCAGAAATGGAATTCAGGAGAAGTTGCCTTCGATTAGTATACAGTTGTATAAGATTAGTATA